ATTATTGTTATTATTATTGTTATTATTATTATTATTACTATTATTATTGTTATTATTATTATTATTGTTATTATTGTTGTTATTATTATTATTATTGTTATTATTTTCTGTCTTGAAATAATGGCGTTAACATTCATAGTTCGAGTGACGTTGGAGGGAAACAGGAGTCCAGCAACGATTCAAGGAGGTCCTCTGGCGACCGATATATACGAGCTTTCCGAAGTTGTGTTTCGATGGGGCTCGTCGAATTGCAAAGGTGCCGAGCACACGTTGAACGGCACCTGGTTCACGATGGAGGCGCAAGCGATACATTTTAACAAAAGATACGAAACGATCGAGAGATGTTGGCGCGAGAACGACGGCCTCGCGATATGCTCGTATCTTCTGCAAGCTTATCAAATCCCCACCTGGGACGAGCATCCATCCTTCTCCAAGATCACCGACGATCTGTACAAAATCACCCAATATAACTCGTACACAAAGATACCGGCAAGTACGTTAACAATTTCCTCTTCTTTTTTTTTTTTTTTTTTTTTTTCATTCAAAATTATATTTTTTTTTTTCATTCAAAAATTTCTCTCGATTCTGAAAGATTTATCGATTATTGGAAAAAGAATTTTATCAATTTTTATCAATTTTGTTATTTTGCATCGTAGATTGTTTGAGCTGGATGAGACAAGCTTGTCAAACACCCGGTTATTACAGTTACTTGGGCTCGCTCACCACGTACCCGCATTACGAATGCGCTACCTGGATCGTTTTCCCGGAACCGGTTAGAATTTCGGAGAATCAAGCGGATTTGTTTCGCATGTTGCGTAACAAAGAGGGGTGCTGCATAAGAGATAATTATCGCGAGGTGCAAAAATTAAATGGTCGTATGGTTTATTACGTGAATTAAGTTATCGTGTATCGAATCGAAAAGTATTATAAAGTATTATAAATTTATTATTGATATTTATATTGAACGTCGTGCATGTGTATGTTTAATAAAAATCTAATGTACAATTCACTTCATATCTCCTTCCTTTCATATTATTTAATCTCCACGAGATATCTTTAGTTAAAGCTTACGTTGTATGATTAATTCCATTTATCGATCGTATAATATATCGAACTCGTACGAAAACATTACAATCGAATGCAACTAGATTCATTGCAAACCTCAATCTTATTTCAATCAATATGCAGCTAATAACTTGAATTAATTTACATTCTGATCCGTATATACACACACGCATATATATATATATTTGGTTAAATATTTGATGGAAAATTTTATCGGTTCTTGAATCCTCGATAAAAGAATGTTAATCAAAAGGGAAAAGAAAACAGGTAAGCGTTATATAAAAAAAAAATGCATATTTTATTGCAACGATCCTTAAATTCATCTCGATTTGTCAAGTTATCAAGCCCAGCTTCGTATCAACATCGTCAACAGGATTGCCTAAATGGCGGCAATCACCGATCGATTTGTGCAGAACGTTCACATGGACCAAGAAACTTCCACCTCTCTACATGACAAATTACTGGTCGGATATGGGAACGGTTAAAATGACGAACACAGGGAAAACAGGTAAATTTTTAGATTTTAATAAACGAATATTAAAAATCCTTTGCGTTTTCTTTGCTCTAATAAGAAAATTATTCTTCTTTTTCCTTTCCCTCAGTCGTCATAGAAATTTCCGACAGATCCCTACCTTTTCTGCGTGGTGGTCCATTGAAGGACGAGTTTCAATTTATGAACGTGCAATTCCGTTGGGGCGCTGAGAACTCGTGCGGCGCGGAGCACTCTATAAACGGTATTTGGTAAGAACGTTTGCATCTCTTTGCAAGAAAAAACCGCGTGCAAATCCGAATATCATCCGTTTGCTCGCCATTTCCCGTCATCCAGGTACTCGATGGAGGCACAGGTGATGCATTGGAACACTCGTTACGGATCGATAGACAAGTGCTACGACAAACCGGATGGTATCGCTGTGCTCTCGTATTTCATGCAAGTACGTGCACCGTGTAACGGTCAATTCAATTTGTGCGAATTACAACGATCCTATTTTCCACTTTTGTAATCGCGTGGACAGGTGGTGGGCTGCCCTGGAATACCCGACAATCCCTCCCTAACGGAAATTACCAACAACTTGTCAAAGATCAAGCTAGTGGGAAGCCAGACCACCATATCACCTTGTAATTTTACTTTATCGCTTTCTTATTTTCGATATAGATTGGAGATCACATGGAGGTAAATTGTAGCGTATAATAATAATTTTAATTCAGATTGCTTGCTTTGGATGTTGGAAGGGTGCAAAGGTCACAGTTATTATACTTACAAGGGTTCTCTTACCACACCACCGTATCAGGAATGTGTTATTTGGATTATTTCGCCGATTGTGAACAAAATATCCGTTCGTCAGGTTAGTTTTATTATAAAAAGAAAAAATAAAGAAAAAAAGGAAATGATTCGATTGCAATTCGATATGTTTCTCGTATGTTTTGTACTCGCATCGCAGATAGACGCGTTTAGAAGCCTATACGACGGGAAATTGAAGAACATATTGAAAAATAACAGGTCGCAGCAACGTCTTCACAGAAGAATGATTTATCACATCACGGACGACGCTGCAGCATGAAGAATAAATGAATCGGGCTTTGTTGATTTATAATCTCGTTATATTCCCTTTTTTATTACGTCCATCGCTATGTGAATACAATTTTTCTATAAAATTAGAATTAAGAATTTATTTATATATCGTATCCCCTCCTCATAAAGGTCAATAAATTTAATCGACAGTGATCAAAATTCATCAAAATTAACGCGAACGGTTCTCGTAATTCCGCGACTCGCGTTTTATACTTTTGAAAAAGAACGAATTAATTAAAAAATTATCCCTTGTTTTCTTGTTTGCTAACGCGTCAAAAAAAAAAAAAAAAGAAGAAGAAGAAGAGAAAGAAGCATAACCTTTTACCGATCACGCACACAACATCTATCCTCCATATTCATTATGCCATCCTTCAAAGAAAATTTCCAACTGGATATATTCTAACTAATTAATTACAAGAATTCCGTGAAATCTCGTTCTCGTGAATTCGATCGTAACGACAATGGAAGAATATACAGGTTTAATCGGTACGAGGATAATCGAAACTCTTGATGTTAGGTTATGTATACACACGTATATATATATTTTGCAAATTGTATCTATTTTTTTCCTTTTTCTTTTCTTTTTTTTTTCTCTCTTTTTTAGGTTTACCAGTAACAGGCCAATCTCCAATTAATCTAGACGACAGATTGGTACGAGAACGAAAATATCCTCCACTTGTTTTGAACGGCCACTGGATGAACGAAGGTGAAGCGAAGATGATAAACAACGGTCAAACTGGTATTATAATTACGTTTGCGATGCAACTTTTCCATCGAATCGAATAAGTTAAACTCCCCTCCTCACCTGTTTCAGCGAAAATAACTTTAAGCGGGAACAGGATTCCATCCACGATTTGCGGTGGGCCGCTTGTAGACGACGTGTACGAGTTCGAAAGCGCGCATTTCCATTGGGGCGAGGACAATTGCAACGGTGCCGAGCATACGATAAACAATACCTGGTAAAGAGTAGGGAAAGAACGAAAAATCGTTCCCAAAATTCGATCAATCAATCCAAATCATTGTACCTTAATCAAGGTATTCGATGGAAGGCCACGTGATACATTGGAACAGAAAGTATCATACAATGGAAGAATGTTTCAGGCACAAAGACGGTATCTGCATTTTGGCGTATCTATTTTTGGTACGGGCCCAATCACGATCCCGATGCCCCCCCTCTTTTCTCCCCATCTCCCCTATCTCTTTTATCCTTTATTGGTGGAAGTACAAATTTCGCTTAATTTCCAAAAAGGTGCAACCAGGTTGTTGTAATTGCATTAATCCGCAATTGGAAAGGATAACGGAGAACTTGAAGGATATCCTGGACACGGAAATGGAGACGAAGATACCACCTAGTAAGGGATAATTATTAATAATAATTCACTTCGTTACTTTTCCTCTCGCTATGTTTGTGATCAATTTCAATTCCCGTTTAGACAGTTTATCTTGGATGCGTTGGGCTACGTATTGCACCAGATATTACACATACTCAGGGTCGTTCAATGTTGCCGATTATCCAGAATGCGCCACTTGGATCGTGTTCCCGGTGGTTATACCCGTGCGAGCCAGCGAAGTAAGTGTAATAAAGATGGAAAAGAAATGAGAAAAGAGAAAAGAAAAAGGAGAAAGTAATCTCGCTATCGAGACGCTGTTTCTAATCAGAGATATCGATCCACAGATACAAGAATTTCGAAGACTGAGAGACAAAGATGGGAAATGTATAAAGTCAAATTGTCGAGAGATACAGTTACTAAAGTGTAGACAAATATATTTAGCTGTGCCAAGTTAATATATATGACAAACAACATCATACGAGTTTTCTTTTGTATGTGTGTGTGTGCATGTACGTTTGTATTTACCGAAAAAAGGTAAAAATCGCTCTTTTACATTATCTTATCGACTAAAATTAAAAAACAACGTCTCTCCAACCTCCATATTATAACTCTGCCACTACATCCTTCTTGAACGGCAAATCGATTTCGATCTCCTCCCCAGGAGAGGATGGAACGAGGACAGTCAAGACAATAGAAACATCGTATTTATTTACATCGTTACTTGTGACGCTCGTTCAAATTGTTGTACGACTCGATCGACGCGAATATCCTAACCAACGTGTTCCCCAAGAGGTTGTATATACGAATGAAAAACGTTTGCTTGTAAAGGTATTCATTGCTCGGATAAAG